AGATAGATAGATAGATAGATAGATAGATAGATAGATAGATAGATAGATAGATAGATAGATAGACTGACAGACAGACAGACAGACAGATATAGGATAGATGGACAGACAGACAGATAGACAGATATAGGTGATAAGGTGTCAGTCCTTACAGGTAAACCAGACAGGAAACATAACAAGGTGAACTAATTCTAATGTATTGTAAGGCTATATTAATGCAATAGAATATAAAACACAATAGAATATTCTTTATTGGCCAAGTGTGACTGGACACCCAAGGAATTTGCCCCTGGTGCATAACTTCTCAATGTACATACAAACAACAAAGTAATATAATCATAAAGATGAAGCAAAATATACAATCATCAATCATAAGTTACAAAAAACAAAGTGATAAATCATAAGATACCAATAGGATGTAATAGAAAAGAAGAGGAGAATAATAACAATACAGTCCTACTACATCCTTATATCCTTACTATCCATAAGACAGTGCTGTGGGAATTAGGTATTTAGCAGAGTGATGGAAAGTTGCAAGTCTGAAAGTTCAAAATACTGAACTCCCCACTGTCACCTTTAACTACTAGACCCATTACTGTGGGTCCTTCCTAAATTTCTTTCTCTGTCCATTAAGCCCCTGGGGGCTCCTCCCTCTCTTGTCTGATGGTTTCCTTGGTGGCATCTTTTACCCTTATCCCCCAAGCTCATCCAGAGATCCATTACAGAAGGGCAGCGTAGAAGGGATAAAGAGGTTTAGATCAACAAGCTAGATAAGGAGGAGAGGGTATATCATATGTACAGAGATGAAAAATACTGAACTCCCACGATGGGAGAGTAGATAGTGAAGATGGTGGAATTTGCAGAAATGGCAAAATTGGCATGTTCCACAAAGGGTGATACATCAAGTTGTTTTTTTAAAATAAAAGAATAGACACCTTTTATGGATTATTATTTGTTGCTGAAAATGGGGAAAGAATGAACTGGTGATTTATGGATTTGCTGATTAAAAAGGACTAATTATGGGAAGAAAAGAATCATGTATGATTTTACAGAAAAAGGGGAGACACTAAATTTGTAACTGTTCTAAAGATCAGAAGTCACTTCCTTACATTTCTTTTTCTTCCTTTCTCCCCTGTCTGTATCACTGTTTGCATTTTTTTTCTTTTTTCATTTACTTTTCTTGATCTTAAAAGATAATTTGAAAAAGCTAGGGAGCTATTCTGGGTAACAAAAAGGGATTAATTAAAAACTATGGAGACAAATAGCATCATAATATGAAGTGAGAAGGTTAAGAAATGTAGGAGAAAGGGGACGGGATTGAACAAATAGATTTAAAATCTGCTTAGGACCTAATGCACAAGCGCAGAAATAATGACTGCTGTCAATATTGCAATGAACGTATTTCATGTTTTCAGTTTTGCAGCTACTAAGATTGTTGGACGAGCAGGTATAAAGATAGCCAGGAAAGTGATTGAAGCCTGGGAAACAGGCCTTTTTGTCAGTCAGCAGGAACCAGATCATCAGGTACTTAGGAGCCGAGGAGTTGGCAGCCTAAGGAAGCAACAGCCAATAGCTGGCCATCAACACACTAATCAACCAATAGGAAGCACACCCAACCAGGCACCACATAAATATGCCTCATAGAAAAGCACACATTCAGACAGAGAAAGATTCCCTGAGAATGGGCTCCAGCACAAGTCCAAAAGCTTAGAAGATTAAACCTCTGGTCCCAATTACCAATCCCAATTGGATCTTGCTGTCAGTATTTGCTGGAAGGAAATGTGATTATTTAGAATTGATCATTTGGAATTTCAAAAAATTCCAAATAAACTTCTTCCCTTGAGAAGGTCCCTTGAGAAGAAGATCCACGCCTTCCTTCTAAATCAAGACTCTTGCCAATCATGGACAATATATATGAAACTTCATTGTAAAAATGACGAGACACCATTTTTATATATAATGTAAAATATCCCATAGCCCAAACTTGCTGATGAAATATACTTGTGCTTTATCTTTTCTTTGCAAACACTGATGGAAGTCAAAGGTAAACATGAATGAATGGACTTCTGACCTTTTATTTTCTCGAATGTTTTTTTCTCCTTTCTTCCACCCAATGGTTGGTTTGGGAGAAGCTTGTGGTTTGCAGTCCACAGTGACTTCTTGGCCTTTGGTAATAATAATGGTCTTCCTCAGTTGACTCAGGGGAAAAGTTGGAGCAGAAGCTATTGAGAAAAGAAATCAATCTCAATGGAACCATCCAAGCCCATTACGCCAAGAAATATTTTCAAAGATGGGACATCACCTTGGTTGGTTAGTTGACTCTCCCGTATGAAATGTCTTTATAATGCAAAATCATATAGCTGTTAAACAAAGTATGTAATATATGAGGATGGACTGAGACCCATTAATCTTACCAACCTTATCTTACCCATTAAATATTCTTTCATGCTATAACTGCATTATTTATGAGTGAAATAAAGAAATGAAAGATTGGTCAAGAATGACAGGAGGAAAGGATCTAATAACATCTATTCCAATGGACACATTTCATAGCTAGAACACTTCCGAAAACTTAAACCTGCTTGCAGTTTAATACATACTGTAATTTCTATATATTGATGACAATGGTTTGTTTAATTCCATATATTGTATATCTCAATCTTTATAAATCTTAGTGCTATTGAACAGTTTTGATTGATGAAAGCCTGCAATATTTATTGGATTTGTTGATATAAGGGCAACAAGATAGCTCTTATTTTTTTTCAATATAGCTAGCTACTTTGTATTTACATTTCATTAAAATGCCTTTATTTTTAAATCAAATTTATTGGCTGCTCTACTCAGAGCAACTCTTGAATTTATATTTATTTCTGTTCTGCACTAAGTTTTTAAGTGTGAGATAATAATAACAATAATTTATCCCCATTCATATATATATATATATCGGAAATATAACTCAGCTTGGAGCATTGACTCGGCTTTCACATGGTTGATTTGTTTATAACATTTCCATTTTACCTTTTTTCCCCTATAAAGAACTGTCAAAGGATGTACAGGTAGTCCTTGACTCACGACTATTTATTTAGTGGCCGTTCAAAGTTACAACAGCACTGAAAAAAGTGACCTATGATCTATGAGCAGTGGTGGGATTTAGCCGGTTCACACCGGTTCAAGTGAACTGGTTGTTAAATTACCCACCCCCACTATCAAAGTGGATCCTGGGCACTGTGCTGCAATGGGCAATGAGCGGCGGGCGCGAGAGGAGAAGGCCGCTTTCCCTCTTCCTTCTCCCTGCTCCTCCTCTTTCCCTCATGCTGGCTGCTCCATTTATTTCCTGTTTCTCCATTGCAGCGCAGCACCTAGGATCCACTTTGATAGCTGGCGGGGTGGGGGGTGGGGTCGGCGGAAGGGATTTAAAAATTGGTTTGCCCAGGGTCAGGTTGGCCATTGCAGGAGGCTTGTCCCACATGTGCTGCGGAGGATGGGGATGGGCCACACCTCCCACGACAGCCAACCTGACCCTGGTTGAACCGGTTGTTAAATTATTTGAATCCCACCACTGCCTATGACCATTTTTTTACACCTATGGCCATTACAGCATCCCCATGGCCATGTGATCAAAGCTTGGATGCTTGGCAACTGGCATGTATTTGTTACAGTTGCAGGGTCATGCGGGGTTGGGTCATCGCCTTTTGGGACTTCCTGACATGCAAAGTCAACGGGGAATCCGGATTTACTTAACAGCTGTGTTACTAACTTAACAATTTCCGCAAGAGCCAAGGTGGCGCAGTGGTTAAATGCAGCACTGCAGGCTACTGCTAGATCAGCAGTTCAGCGGTTCAAATCTCACCGGCTCAGGGTTGACTCAGCCTTCCATCCTTCCGAGGTGGGTAAAATGAGGACCCGGATTGTTGGGGGCAATATGCTGACTCTCTGTAAACCGCTTAGAGAGGGCTGAAAGCCCTATGAAGCGGTATATAAGTCTACTGCTATTGCTAATTCCCTTAACAACTGTTGCAAGAAAGATTGCTAAGTGGGGCAAAACTCAACTGGCTTGTCTAGCTGCAGTGGGACAGTGGTTAGAGTGCAGTACTGCAGGCTACTTCCGCTACCTGCCGCCTGCCTGCCTGCAATTTGGCAGTTCGAATCTCACCAGGCTCAAGGGTGACTCAGCCTTCCATCCTCCCGAGGTGGGTAAAATGAGGACCCAGCCCAGCAATAGGCTGACTCTGTAAACCACTTAGAGAGGGCTGTAAAAGCACTGTAAAGCGGTATATAAGTCTAACTGCTATTGCTATTAGCAACAGAAAGTTGTGGTCCTACATTGAAGACTACCTGTATAACTAGATGGACACTTCAGTTCATTCTTTTGGGACTCTGGAACAACACTGTAGTCTTATGAAATGAATGGAAAAAAGAATAACAGCCTTAAATACAAACCTAAAATCTTCAGTTCAGCACTGGCATAGATGGCTCCATGCTTGTTTTCTGCTACGCACTGATACATTCCAGCATCTGACTGATTAACACTGTGGATCATCAGCACACCATTAACCATCTCAATCCTGCTCTGTAATGGAATAGAAACATAATTCTACAAAAGCAAAGAACAGAAGGAATATTTATGGGCTTCTCAGCTTTAGCTCAAGCAAAGATGGCAGCAGAGGGAATGACACAGTTATGCGCTTAACATGTATTAAAAGAGCTTACTGACTGCCATGTTGACAGTTTTTCCATTGTTTTATCTTTTTTTTAAACTTTGTGACCATGTTAAAATATTTTGGGGTGCTTAAAACTGCATACCTGAGGATCATCCTTGCTCATGTTTAAAAATGAGACTTTGGTGGCTATACAGAACCTTACTGTTCTGATTCTTTATTGCTATTAGCAATTATTCAGAGCTACTAACATGCTAATCTTGAAGGGAAAATATATATATAGGACTGTCTTATGTACTTAGTGAGCCAAACCAAGGATAGACTATTATGGTAGCTGAGTGAGGATTTGATTGTTAGTTTGTTCCATTTGTCATTACTGTCCAGAATTGCAAAGACAGGAACATTGTCAAGCAGACTGTAATATATAGCTAACATGATACATAATGTTTTGGTATCATAAGTATTATAGAACTGGAACAAATTTAACTTGCTGCTTTGGAATAAGCAAGGAATCCCTACTGAGTGACAATAAAAATATGAAATTTTGTTTTTTGTAGCAGAGCACTCATCTGAGCTAAGAAAATAAGCCTTTGACTTCTTGGTTAGTGTTCCGTCTTGGCAGAAAATAAATGATATACAGTAGGATTTTAAGGTATGATGGTTTTTCAATAAAGCTGGTGCTACATATATGCCTTTTCATTCGAGGTGGCACACAGTTTTGAGGGGAGAGAGAATCATCTTTGAGATGCCATTATTGTGAAAAGGGGTTGAAGAAAACAATTCGCTATCTCTGAAAAGCTATGAAAATGATACTTCAGAATGAGTGAAGTGAGTTCATTCTTCATGAGTATTTAAACACTTTGCTTTGAACACCTTGCAATAAAATGCAATGGGATACAAGAGATGGATTTCTAACAATATTTATACCTGCGGGCAAAACTAAATGCTTCTGTGATAAAGGATTACAATCCATTTATAGATACGGGTATCTATAAATGGATTGCAATAATTTACTACAGAAGAATGTAGATGTAGATAAGCATAACCAACTATTTTGTGGCCAAGAACTGATTTTATTAGAAGTTGTGAAGAGTACAACAGATGACACTTTTAATGCCACAATATAATGGAAATCTTAACATTAAATTATTAGTTCAAGATAAAGAAAAGTTGATTTTTTTAAAAAAAAGTATTTGCTTGCAATAAGAAGACTTCAGAGTGCAACTAGTAGTTTCTGTTTTATTAGTGATAAGGAAGAAGGAGGAGTAAATGGTTGTTGAATGGCTATTTTCTCGATTGCTTCTCATCATGAAATTTATGACACAGGGCACCTAAAATAATAAAATATATAAAAGGAAATGCACAAATTAAAAAAGTGGCTCTTCAGATCCTTGTGGGTTTTCACACACACTTTAAGAAAGAAAGAAAAAAGATACAGATTTAGGATGCCACAGATCTAAAGCTCAAAAAAAAAAAAAAAGAAGTATGGATTCGTAACAGGTGATACAAACAAGCCATAACAAAAATATCTGTTAGTCTTTTTAAAAAAGGAAACTTAATTAAGGCCTCTAAGCTACTTGAAAGATCAGAGCTCTTTCAACAGCTGCCAACAAATTAGAATGCTAATATGAAAAATGAGAAGAATTCTTAAATACATAGGAAGTAATCATATTCCCTATAATTAATTTATGCTAATGTTATTTAAATCAAAGCTATTTTCTCATATTTTTTCCCCATCTACTCCGAATATCTCCACTTGGAAAATGTTCTGCCTCCTGCTTTAGAATGACAGTAAATATATCATTGTTTTACTTCCTGATTCAATTGGCATCTGAGCCCAAGACCATATTTTAAGACAGGTCATTTCAAACTTGGCAACTTTAAGACTTCTGGACTTCAACTCCCAGAATTTCTCAGTCAGCCATGCTGGCTGGGGAATTGTGGGAGCTGAAGTCCAGAAGTCTTAGAGTTGCCAAGTATCAAGACCCCTGTCCTAAAGACAACCTGAAAGCAAATAAAACTACAGCATACTTACCTCTGGCCGTAGAGTATTCCCATTTTTGAGCCAGCGATAAGTTGGCCTCGGCTTTCCAGAAGCTCTGCACTCCCACTGAAGTTGATCCCCACTGTCTAACTGGGTATCGTTCAGCCTCTCTGTCCAGTGTGGATATGCTGCCAACAATAACAATAATGACAGAAGATCCCGGTGATTAATATTGTGGAACTTTTAACCAGTGGTGAAATTCAATTTTTTTTACTATCGGTTCTGTGGGTGTGGCTTGGTGGGCATGGTGTGGCTTGGTAGACGTGGTTTGGTGGGCATGGCAGGGGAAGGATACTGCAAAATCTCCATTCCCACCCCAATCCAGGGGAAGAATACTGCAAAATTTCCATTCCCACCCCAATCCAGGGGAAGGATACTGCAAAATTTCCATTCCCACCACAATCCAGGGGAAGGATACTGCAAAATTTCCATTCCCACCACAATCCAGGGGAAGGATACTGCAAAATTTCCATTCCCACCACAATCCAGGGGAAGGATACTGCAAAATCTCCATTCCCACCCCAATCCATGGAGAGAATACTGGAAAATTTCCATTCCCACCGCATTTGGGGGCCAGCCAGAGGTGGCATTTGCCAGTTCTCTGAACTACTCAAAATTTCCACTACCGGTTCTCCAAACTACTCAAAATTTCTACTACCGATTCTCCAAAACCTGCTGGATTTCACCCTTGCTTTTAACTGATACTTTAAAACAGTGTTTCTCAACCTTGGTATTGTGTTGTGCGGCCTTCAATTCTCCATGGGTGGCTGGGGAATTCTAGGAGTTGAAGTCCATGCATCTTCAAGCTTGCAAGGTTGAGAAACACTGCTTTAAACCAATTAGTGAACATATATGACCAATTTAGGTGATCAAATATTACTGGTGATAAGGATTGGTGGTACTTTTGCACATTTTTCCAGCAATGGGTCAGACACAAGCTGATCAATTAGAAGTGGCTGAACTCCATGAGGTAACAAAGTGAAACTCAAAATGTCCTGGCATGATGGGGATGGTGTTGATTAAATGTCTTTGGGTGGTAACATCATTATTGTAAGCAAGGGCCAGAAGAGCAAAGATATCATCACTATGTGAGATATATGGATGCTGTTAACTGTGATATGGATTTCAAGCCAGAAATAGCATATTCCATGCTGTTTCAACTGTGTAAAGAAAAAAAACCTCCCCATTTTGTCATGCTGCCTCTGCCCACTGAGAGCTCAGGTTTTGAAGCAATGGAAAGTTTCAAAATAAGGCACGAGAACTGTAGCACCTATTGGCAAATATTATGATGGACTAAATTTAGTCCAGTTAGTGACTGCAGGTGAATTTGTTAACTCAAGCAGAAATGGGGATAAGGAGAACTCTAAAAGAGAACAAACAGGAAATGTGCTTAGTGCTTAGTACTTTGTACTCACTGGAGAAGAGCCTAATGCTGGGAAAGATTGAGGGCAAAAGAAGAACAGGACGACAGAGAATGAGGTGGCTGGATGGAGTCACCGAAGCAGTAGGCGTGAGCTTAAATGGACTCCAGAGGATGGTAGAGGACAGAAAGGCCTGGAGGAACATTGTCCATGGGGGTCGCGATGGGTCGAACAGACTTTGCAACTAACTAACAACAAATTTGTACTTAGATACAAAGACCATTGACTGCCCAACACTATCCAAGACAAATTGTTGCATTATTTGGTACCTAAAGTCTGATTTCCCCTTTAGGATGTTCTTATTTAATCATAATATGCACATTGCACTTCAGACTAAAGTACGCCTAACTATTCTATGAAGTTTAGCTGGTGTAAAGGTATAACATAGTAGGAGCTCACTTTGTTTACAGTTGTTCATAGTTGTTTAACCAAGGTATGTTTTGCACAAAACTTGTTCAAAGGAAACCACTCCTTCAAAGGTCTGCAGATGCTTCCTCCCCCCTTGATTTGTTAGTTCCTCCTTTTTTATCCGTTGCCATTTTTTGTTGTTGAGATTCAATTCTACAGTAAAAGAATGAAAAGGATGCAGACATCTGAATTACTTTAATTACTTGCCTTCCTTTTGCTCTGGAGGATGGGAAGATTAACAGATTAACAGAGTTGGAAGAGACCTTGTAACAGGGGTGGGATGCTACCGGCATTAGGATGGGCATGGTATGGTTGGTGGGCGTGGCTTGATGGGCATAGCAGGGGAAGGATACTGCAAAATCTCCATTCCCACCCCACTCGGTGGCCAGCAAGACTTGGCATTTGCCGGTTTTCCGAACTACTCAAAATTTCCACTACTGGTTCTCTAGAACCTGTCAGAACCTGCTGGATTTCACCCCTTATTTAGAATGATCCAACCAATCTAGTTTCACAGTTGAATCTCTGGATTCCATGTCATTTACAAAACATTTACTTAAGCAAAATTTCTCAGTCTTAATTTTCTGTTTTGTAGAAATCTCCAGCTATGAGGCTAACTCCAAACTCTATTCACCTCATAAGGCTTTAGCAATGACAGCTGATGGTGAAAGCCACAGAACATCTGTATGTTATTGATACTAGCTGCCAAGGAAAAAAAAGCTTTTTCAAATTAATAAGGCTTAACTCATTAATCCAAATTGCTGAAGAGTGTTTAAATCCCTTCTATATGACATTGAAGTCTAACAGGTTCAGAGGCCTGAATATCATGGAGTGCCAAAGAAGATATTTGGCAGTGTAAGTCGGTAATTGAGAACCAACACAGCGAAGGATCTATTTTGGATGGAATGAGATCACTGGAGCACTTTAATAGCTGTTATTACACTGGACTGAACTTAAAAATGAATCACATAAGCTATTTGGTATTTGGCCAGTCTTCAATTAGAGTTTAAATAGCTTCAAGAAAGCCATTCCTATTCTGAGTGTCAGTTATGGTTATAACAAATAGAACAGCCTTACCTAGATGGGAATAAGGTCTGTTCAGCTATGGATATTTATATGCACTGATTTGTCCAGCAAAAATTGACTAGTAATGTAAGAACATATTAATTGATTTCAAAATCTTGCTTCAAAAATCCATCATGAATTGGGTTTAGTGAAAAGAAGGACTAGGGGTGATATGATAGCAATGTTCCAATATCTAAGGAGCTACCACAAAGAAGAGGGGGGTCAACCTATTTTCCAAAGCAGGACAAGAAGCAAAGGGTGGAAACTAACCAAGGAGAGGAGCAATCTAGGACTTAGGAGAAATTTCCTGACAATTAGAACAATTTAATCAGTGGAACAATTTGCCTTCAGAAGTTGTGGCTGTTTGGAGGTTTTTAAGAAGAGATTGGTCAACCATTTGTCTGAAATGATAACAAGTTTCCTGCTTGAGAAGCAGGTTGGATTAGAAGACCTCCAAGGTCCCTTCCAACTCTGTTATTCTGTTATGAATCTAATATATTAGCAGATCTGTCGTAAGCCATACCACTTTTTTCTGCTACCAAGAGATCGATATCTGAGTACATTAATCAAAATAACTGAAATTAGAAAGAAAAATCTCATCCTTAAGTAACATATGAATTTATGTACATTAAATTGTTTTGTGAGTCACGAAGAAAAAGAAAGAGAGAAAGAATAGCGGGTGGTGTGCTAAAAGAACAGTATGGATTACATCAGGGGTGTCAAACTTGCATCATCACGGCAGTGTCACGTGTCATATTGGGACTTTTTCCCCCTTCGCTAAGCCGGGTTGGGATATGACACATCTGTAAGGGGCGTGCATAAGCGCACCAACGTGCCTACAATCCCTGTTCTAATGTTTCTTTTTATTCATATCCATTTCATGCATCCAAAATCATGTTTATACATATGTATGTTGTCTAATACGTGTTTGACAAAATAATAAATAAAATAAATAAAATAATAAATAAAATAAATAAAATAAATAAAATAAATAAAATAAATAAAATAAATAAAATAAATAAAATAAATAAAATAA